TTTCTGTTATGTGTAGACACAGCACTAATTAATCCCATTAATTCATTGCAAAATATTACAAGAAAGTATGGCTCCTTTGAAGCTATATATGTGTAAAGAAAATGGTGGCTGACTTGTACAATATAATGAGATGTTTTGTTCGATATTCAAGCAGGTATGTAAATGGAATATAAAATCCCTTTTTCTTACCTACATTTAGCCTTTTGAAACTACGCCTCAGCCCCTGTAATAGGGGGGATTAGTGTCCTAACCGACAAAGAAAATGCACCCCTACTGCTAACAGTGTACAGTTACATGAGCAGTGTTACAGTTCTCCAGTAGGTAATAGTAATCCCTGTATATAGACATGAGTAACATGTCCAAATACATTTTGGGGGTGCATGGAGGGATAGAGTCATCAGTCACACCACAGACAGCACAAGTGCAGAGCTGGACTCCTTTCTTATATCATATGCACACACACGCGCACACACGCACACACGCGCGCGCACACACACACACACAGGTAAACGCAGTCCTTGTTAACTCTCACAGTGACTCATCCTGAGAAGTTTTAACACAATCTGTGCTGAAAAATTACAAATCACATAAACAAACAGTCAGATAGGCATATGGCACGGCTAACAGTCAGTCCGAAGAAGTTAGTTAAACTTCTGTGACTTCTTATTTTATCTTACACTCTAATGCATCTTGTCAGGTTGGGCATGTGAAATAAATCATTACGTGCATGCGCCTGCCTCCAAAAGTGTGTCATTGAATGTTTTGCCATTAATGTAAGTTGTGTAGTGAGTTTTAAATCAAAAAGTGAGTATCAAATAAAACAAGCAATTTAAAATAATGATCTTCACATGAACGTGTAATTTTGCCATTTCACATGAATGGCTGTCCTGTGTCGATCTTCACTGGTCTTCAGCACTGTAAAAGTAAGTTTTAACCGACTGGTTTTTAGTCTTTGCCTAGGTTTTTTCTTTTTTTATAGACTGTTCACAGACAAAAGCTCAGTAGGTGTCTAGCTTTCATTTACTGCAACTAAAACCAGAATGTGTTCTCACAAAAGCACAAAGAAGTGACAATGACAGAAAAAATATCTCTTCGGCACAAGGACAAAACTAACAAAAAAGGAGTAATTTTGAACAGGAAATGGATATTTGAAGAACAATAGCATGGGGAGTTCTGAAAGAAAAACCACACATTTAGGTCCATACATTTTTAGACAATGAGATTTCTCTTTGTCATTTTGCTCCTGTACTGTACACCACCACAGTACATCACCTGCTGGGGAGGAAACTGAAGACTTCTCGTAACATCCTGAAAGACGCTGCTTTGAAAGGCTGGTTATGCATTTCCAAATGAAATTAGATTTAGTTACGTCAGTGGACTGAAGAGCCTTTGCATGAAAAGAGCAAAAATAATTAACGTCATTAACTTCTTTCATTTCATTTGACATTGTTCTCCTAACTTAGTTCAGTACAGGTTTGAAAAGGAGATTTAACATTAAAACAGCTATTTGTACAATATAGTTAACATGTGTATGAAAAGAAAAGCTCAAACATAAGCTTCACCTTTGTCTCACTGTTGTTTTGATCGAATGGCTGACTTTAAATGACTGAAGCAACAAAAACATCAGATTTCACTCAACTGTGAACAGACTTTTAGAGGGCACTGTTTCTTTTTGTGTTTGCCAGAATCCTGCTGCTGTTATATTGTAAGTAATAAAACCCACTGCCTGTTTCTTCGCTACTAAACTAGCTCCCTCTGGTTAGGACAGGGGGCACTGGGGACACAATGTGTAACAACCACAATCTGAAATGGTGTCGATGTTGTTTAGTGAATTACAACATTTTCAGCTGTTTTTTTTAAAATAAATAAATAAATACAATTGAATGACCTTACTTCAGACTTTTCAAGACATCTGTGTTCCAGCTGATGTGTAGTGGTCTGGACAATAAGCACTTCATTAACCCCGTGGCCATCCTAGTGTCACATCAGCCACAATAAAGGGGCGACTAATGACACAGTAATAAAACAGTAATGAGACAGGACATTATGGGGCAGTGAATCCTCCAGGGAGGCATTTGTGTTTTGTGGTTGTGGAAAAAGGTTCTCTGCAGCAGTAGGTGTTTAATAGAAACCAACACACTAAGATATAAAACCATAGAGAATGTGCACACCAGGATATTTGGCTTTGTTCCTCTAAGAACGGCTCACGTCACAGACCGTACAGCAACTAAACGCTTGTACATTAGTATTCAAAGCTTAAGCTGAACAAATGGTTGGACTGGATGAACAAGTAATAACAGAACAATGCCTTGATTCTGGAGAGACCAGCACACTGCACCTATAATAAAGTGGATAACGGAGGCTAACAACGGAGGAAAGGGATTTTTCAATGTTAGATTTATTTTCTAACCATAATTTACCCAATTCATCCTCCTGGGGTCAGGAATAATCATCCGCAGAGGTTCAGCAGCTCTTAAATCCCTTTTTTCTGTTTAGGTTCTACAGCACAACTGAAATCTAATTCATTGC